TTGTTAAATGTTCATAAGATTGTGCCGACAAATAGTCCTAATATAAGGCCGTCCTGTTGAGCACTGCTGGTGATCAGGATTCATAGAGTCCAGTAAAAAGGAAAAAGTTCACAGTGTGATGAATTATATCCTGTAGACTTCAAATCAAACAATCATCAGATGAAAGCCTAAAAAGTTCAACAGTGCCAGAAATGACGTTATTAGATCCCCTAAACTATGAAAACACTGGCATAGAGGAGTCTGACTACACGAGACAGGCAGAGATTGACGTGACTTTAATGCACAAACTGGTTTCTGATTTAAATCAAAGGGAGAAAAAAGGTTAGCTGAGTTGAGCATTGAGTTTACTAAGTTTACCGATCAGTTTTAAAGCAGCGTGTTAAATATGGAGAAAAAAGAGGAAAACCACAGAGAAGATTCATGGATGTAGTGAAGGAGGGCAGAGAGTTGGTGTGACTGAAGGATGATGCAGGAATAGGGTGAGATGGAGGCAGGTGATTCGCTGTGGTGACCCCACAGCTGAAAGAAGAAAAGAAAGGATTACTATGTGTGGGTCTGTCCCCACACATGCTCTTTCTGGCTGTTCCAAGTTGAGCTTAAATCCAAAGATGATCATGCTTTTGACATCAGATGATGGTTCTCTTACAAAAAAACTTGCAGAATTAAGCTTTATCTCCTTTTATCGCTACTAAAGACACATTTTTATAGATTTGTGTTCAGTTTTCTTGTGTTTTTTTCTCTGATAAATTGCTTCATAGCTTTTTTTATCATTCACTCGCTGGGCCCACGTCCTCATTTGAGGTTTGACAGTGTTTTAGTAGATAAAGGTGAATGACTTGGACATGAATTTAGCTGCGGTTTGGTGGAAGGCCTTGAATGGGACTGGCAGCGACTCCCTGGCCTTGCAGATCCCCATTTGCTAAAAATAAGTGAAGAAGTTAAAGAATTAAAAAGGGGAGGGAGGGTGAGGAAGTAAACAAGAACAAACACCTTGTAGAACTGGGGGAATATATATAGATGAGAACCGGACGGAGCATGTTTGGAGGTGTGGTCCCGCTCCTGAAATTCAGATACTTTTTCTCCAATAACTATGATGACCATTAAATTTTACCTTTCATTTATTGAGTGTCTCTTCTGCATGTTATGTCTTCTGTCTTATCCTGACCTAATGTCTGGCTTTCTGTTTTGAATTTAGTAATCTGCTTTTGTTTGCTGTTAAAACACTTTGTAAACCTGCATTTTTAAAGATGCTGGACAAATAACTTTAAAACTTTGATGTGTCACAAAGACTGAATTAATGTGCATTAATGTGAAGCTAAGCAGTTAACTAATTGCATTACATTACATTGCACTATGAAGCTGTTTTTCCATCAGCTGTTGAGCCCATCAGCTCTGAACTTTACTAGATGTTCCCCAAAGAGCCTCAAGTGAGAACACAACTTTCCAATTTAACTTTCGCAGTTAAATTGGACATTAAACGTCCTTTAACTTGCCATCTTCTTAGCACACAGTCTGAGAGATGTCAGGTTAATCCCATGTGAGAATACAGCAGGTTGTCTGGCGTGTTACCGGCTGGAGAACGATTCTGAGTTACATTTTACACATGAAGCACTCTTTTCTAAATCACAGGAAGTAATGTCAGTAGAGAGAGGACTCTGACGCAGGCTGTCTTGTCTTCTGCCTGTAAGAAATGTCAGCCTTACGCACAGTCTCCACTTGATTCTCAAAGCGTCATCCAAAGTTGAGTATTTATGTGTAAATGCTACCTCTACTGCATGCTGCAGTTTGAATGCAGAACTTTTGCCTCTAACTGAAACAGTTTTTAGTCCTTAGCACTAAAGTGCAGATGTCTAATCTCTTAGTAAATGATTTCAGGAACATATTTTCAATCAGATGTATAAAATGAGCACGTTTGGACCAAAAGGAACTTGTAGAAGTTGACTTATTGCTTTTAATGATTTGTTCGTAATTCTTGGATGAGGCCAAAGCTTTGGAGGAAAAGACAGAAAGCAGAGAGACCAAACTCAACGTTTACTCGATTATTCATGTAGATATATCTATTATTCATTTTTCTTTTGTTTATTTTTCAGATGAACTCTCCTCGTCATCTCCCTCTGAAAGGCTGCGGAAAGGTGGTTCAGGCAGCGTGCGGAGGCACACAGGTGGCCATACTCAACGGTCAGTTCACACAATCAAACAGAAAAAATAACAAAAGCGGACGATTTGTGTCGGAAAAGTTTCCTTTACATTGTCTGGCTTGTAGGATTAAAAATGCATTTTCTAATTTGAGTCTTCAGTTTGAGTCTAGAGCAGTCGCTCCACACGTGGCCTCTCGGTGGCATCGCTCATCAGTTTTGGATGTCTGGCTTCCAGTTTGATTCCTGTCATGTCTGGCTTGTTTGTTCATTTACCTTTTTGACGTGGCGGCAGACTGTGACTAACTGTTTCAGGTAAACATCAGTGTACCGTGCTAAAACTGAGCTTTTACTCATCCTTGGAGCGGTGGGTGGTTTGTTTCCGTCAGTGTTGAGTCAACCCGCAGGCTGATTTCCAATAAATTCATCCTGACTGAGTGACACATTTCTGCTCCTATTTTTAGACATTTTTGGGGAAAAGTAGCTTCCTTCCACTTTTACTCGATCAGACTTGCACATTACATGTTAGATATAACACTCTTCATTATTGGTGATTATGAAAGCTATATAAAACCTTCAGCTGTACATAAGTGATGATACTTTTACATGGGATCAGTATTACCCTAGGACCTCTAATCATGTGTAATAATTGTGGAGGTTGTTTGTGCTGCCATTTTTTGCCTTACATATTACTCCCAGTAAAGAGGTCCTATGATCGTATTAGCTGTTTAGTCCATTTTCCCATCTTCTATACTCCTGAATAAAAAATAATGAGGCTGTGTTGAATATTAGGTTATAAAATTATAAAGCCTTGAAGCATTTTGGGTGAACATTCAGGGAGGTCAAAAGGTAAGATTCCTCTAGCCCGAGGGGACAGATGACATGTACGTTTCATTTAGTCTTTGGTGACTTTTAACATTTATCATGTGGCAGCTTTATAAAATGATGGTTAGGGTTTATGTGAATAAAGGCAGCTCTTATTTAAAAATGTTTATACTACTACTGATAATAGCCAGCTTGCTGTCTTCATCAGTCGTGTTTTTGGTTCGTTGCTGTTGAGAAGAATCTGTTACCATACCATACCACCTTTATTTATAAAGCACTTTAACATAAAACCAGAGTTCACAAAGTGCTGTACATGCTAATAGCATAAGTAAAGAAAATTAAAATGAGATAAGATAAAATAAATAACTAAAAAACTAAAATAAATTGAAACATGTTAAAACAAATTGAGTCAACCCCTCTAATCAATGCCAAAGGCTTCAGCGAATAAATATGTTTTAAGAAGACTTTTAAATTCAGAAAGAGAAGAGGCCTGCCTAACGTGCAAGGGTAGATCATTCCACAACTTTGGAGCAACTACAGCAAAAGCACGATCACCTTTAAATTTATACTTAGTTTTCGGTACCTTAAGGAGCTGCTGATTGGCCGACCTAAGCTATGGTCCGCTATCTGGTCTTGCTATCTGTACCATTTCAGCCCTGCACACAGGACAGTAATCCTAACAGTGACCCGCTGTCGGTGGGATGTCAGTAAATTCAAATAAAGTGGATACGTTTAGAATAAATTACAAAAAACAGACATTGGGTGGTTGGGTGTGAACTTCCTGGACTTTCTAGTCAAATAATATTTTTGCTGTATAGAAGAGAGTACTGAGTCAGCTACACGTTACGTCTGCAGGAGCTCCTCGATCATGGAGACCTATGCCATGAAGCTCTCGGTGACAGTTTTTGTGCTGATGTTAATGCCAGAGGTGGTTTGGACCTCTGCAGCAAAGCGTTGGAGACTTTTCCGCACTCAGTGACCTCGCTCTGTAACTATGTTGCTAATTTGTGATAATGCCGCTTATGGACTGAGGACCAGGAGGGAAGAAACTCCAAAGACTGAACTGTAACAGTTACAGGACTACGCTTGAATTCAGAGCGCTCTTTAGAACGAGCCGGTCTGTCAGATAGTTGTAAAAGAACGAGTCGTAGTTTTGTCATATGTGTAGCTTTTTCTTCTTGTCGAGCTCTAAAGTCCGGTATTTGTGTGTCTTTCCAGACAAAGGAGAGGTGTTTGTGTGGGGCTATGGCATCCTTGGAAAAGGCCCCAAACTGTCAGAGTCTTCGACCCCAGAGATGATTCCCCCGACACTGTTTGGACGGTCTGAGTTTAACCCCTCAGGTGTTGTCTCCAGGATCAGGTGTGGCCTCAGCCATTTTGCTGCAGTGACAGGTATGCGCACAGATGCTTCTTTACAATATTCCTGCTTTATTGCTCAGATTTCTGCTTTTTTTTTTTTTTTTTGAGCCCAGATAAGAAATGGAAGAATAAAACTCGCAGTGCAGTCGATGCAGTCTCAGGTGCTTAGAAAGAGGCGGACGTGCCCGCTGGGGGAACAGTTTATCGCTGAGTGATTGGGTGATGTAGTGTTTATGGCGCTGAAATGAAAAAGTCTGTCTCGTCTTGTTTTTGTCGCTGAAACACTGGACTGGAAACATCTCTTTTGTCAGGTTTTATTAGTCGGAGGCTGAGGCTGTAACCAGCCAACAGCACTAAAACTTCAGACTGAGTTTTGTGGAGTTTAGTGAGTAAAAGGGTATCTTGATTGATTTTTAAAAAGTTATTGTAGGGAGGACCAACTGCATGTGTGAAAAGAGACGTTAAGACTCCAGACGGAGCTGCATAAAGCTGAGTGAATAAATCTAATGAATCAAAGTGAGGCCACTTTGATTCATTGAGGCCACCAGGCCACCAGCCTGAGATTTCTGAATACACTGCACTGATCTGACCATTGTCAGCCTGACCTATGTGACTGCACTGCTGTGTCAGAAAGGTGCTCTCTTAATCCAGAAGGAAGTCTTTAACACCAGAAAAACAAGCACAGTGGCTCAGTGGTTAGCCGCTCCCTCCGAGCATAAAGGTCCTGTGTTTGATTCCACAGAGAAAAGCCCGGGGTGGTAGTTTGATCTTAAGTGTGTATATAAAAAAACACTGTTAAACTGTAACATAGGGAGGGACTAACAGTAAGTAGGTCTTGATAAGTATTAACTTCTACCTACTCTCAGACCAAAACAAGCAGTATAACAATACAGCTCATCAGCACGACTCTTTAGGCTCACACTTTAGGAAACATATGAAGCACTGGGAGCTCATTAGCCAGACTTTGCTTCATAACTGAAGCACAGAAATTTTCCCTTAATTTACAGAAACTGTAAACAAAGCAGAAAAGTTTAAATAGTGAAGAAAAACAGGAAGATTTCTTTCTTTTTTCCTTTTAATTGAATACTGCCAATAAAAGATGATCAATGTGGTCTATTAGAGGCTACAGGTGACGTCTTCCTCTTCTGCAGTTTTCACAAACCATCCAGAGGTCTGAATGGTTTGGATAAATTCTCCAAAACTGACCGAAGTGCTCACTAAGAACTAGTAACTCCCATTTAATTAATTCACGACCTGTTACACTCTGATTTCAGCTCTACCGTTTTATTCTTGTACATATCTGAGTTCATATTAATCCTTGGTACTGTGCTTCAGTTCATCTGCTGGTTCAAACATTCTGATCGGATGCGTTTGAAGAGTAGGTGGAAAGAGCCTGAACTGTGTAGCTGAGACGAGCACATTCAGGGTGTCCACTGTTCATTAGCTGAAGTTGAATATCAAGGATATGTTTGGGAGTTGTGTTATTTTAAGTGACAAACCTCTTTCTCATCTGTGGATATTGTATCATCGGTGGCTTGTGTGTAACCTTTTAATGTAGTTTTCCTATCTTGAAGCATTGGCAATGCAGATATCGTTGGTGTTCGTGTTTATGTCTTCGTTGCATTTGCTGCTATGTTGCTGGGTTTTTGTTTGTTTTTGTTGTTGTTTTTTTACTGAGAAGCAATGCAGGAATCTGCATCATCAACCATGTGCACAAAGCAGTGATGCATTTGTAGAACTATTAGTGCTCAAAGAGACTATTCCAAAAAATGTAATAAAATATATATATTTTGGGATGTGTCAGGCCAACTAACACATCCTGTGACGAAGCAGCTTTTTATGAATCTGAACTGTCGTGTAGAAAACTGAGTATTTATAGTATGTAAATTGAAGCTGACATTTGACAAACAAATAAATAACGTAATCAAGACGAGCTTCTTTCATCTTCGCCTCCTTGCAAAAGTTAAGCCTTTTCTCTGCTTCAGAGATTAATTGGCCGACTGGAGCTAGTCCAAAACGCTTCAGCACGGCTCCTAACTGAGACATGCAAGCGGGATCACATATCTCCCATACTTGTATCATTACATTGGCTACCAGTCAGCTTTCGAATTGATTTTAAAATCTTAACACTTGTTTTTAAGACATTACATGGCCAAGCCCCAACATATCAAATGCTTTTGGTTGTCCCAAGGTCGAGGTTAAAACACAGAGGAGACCGGGCATTTGCCGTGACTGCTCCTAAATTACGGAACTCATTGCTCTTGCATATCAGGACCTCTCCAACGCTGGAGACTCTCAAAACCCGTCTAAAGACCCACTTTTACTCTCTGGCTTTTAAATCAAGATGAGTCTGTTCCTATTGTTCTATCCATGATTCTATTTTTTCTTAATCTATATTCTATTTTATTTGGTATGTCTTTATTATTGTACAGTACTTTGGTCAACTGTTGTTTTTAAAAGTGCTATATAAATGAATAAACTTGAAACTTACATTACTGCTCCATGCTTCATCCTTCTAATCTGTGGTCACAGCTTACTGATATTTATTTTATTATTATTTATTTAAATGTCTGCTTCTCAGATCGGGGTGAGCTCTTCGTGTGGGGGAAGAATGTGAGGGGTTGTTTGGGCATCGGGAAGAAAGACGACCAGTACTTCCCGTGGCGGGTAAGACACTGATTCAGTATTAGTCATCTAAACAAAGAGAAAACCATGCAGCTGAGAGTCTATTTTTGACCCACTTCTTCTTCCTTTGGATCAAAATAAATGCTTTTTCCTTATACTTGTGTCATCTGTATTCTGGGGAAAATTTTGTGTGCTTTAAGTAGAGAAAAGTGCGGTTGTCTGTGTGTGAAGGTGTTATAAAATATTCGCTACCTGTATGCGCCCTGTTGAGATTTTCAATTTAAGTCTGCAGACTTCTCTCAGCACGTCCTCTCGAGACATTTTAACAGGATTTGGAGGTGTAGAGCTCACACTTCTTGTCAGTGTTGCACATTGTGAAATCCTGGGTCACGTACAAAAGAAAGAACATAAATAAACCCTCTGCCCTCGCTGTATGTGCAGTAAAAGCACAGAAACTGCACGTCTTCCTTCCTTACATTTTATGTTGTTGTTGACTTCCTTCTTGTGGGTTGTTTTTCCACCTCAGGTGACTGTACCAGGCCAAGTGGTGGATGTAGCATGTGGCGTTGACCACATGGTGGCGCTGGCGAAGTCCCTCCTGTGAGCCTCCTGTCCTCACCAGCGGTGGATTAAGCCTGGATGTTTGGGCCGAGGCCTCCCGCTGACCCTCGGCTGCCCCGGAGAACCGACTGGAGGCTCGGTCTGGAGCCGCGAAGCCAGCTGCTCTCCACAGGCGGTGGACCCGGTCACGCGCTGACGTCAGCGGAGGGCAGAGCGGATGATTGCACAGCAAACTTCCACTGACACTGCTCACTTTATGCTTTATTCTTAAGGTCATGTGGGAAAGACATCCAAGCCTCATTTTATCACAACTAGAGCTCAAACGAGTCGTCAGTTAATTGATTTTTCAGTGACTCTGTGACGCTGTGGTGGGAAAAACGGTGAATCTATCTGTGAAAATTTGCTGTTTTTTAAGAATACACTGAACATATTTGGCTTCTGGACAAAATGAGACATTGGATGTGGTCACTGGACTAAAAACTGAACTTTTATAGACTAAACAGCTCTTCTGCACACAGTGATTATAAAAATAAACTTTAGCTGCAGCTGTATTCCTATTATTTTGTCCCTGTCACTCGTGTTCTCACCAGCTTCGATGTGGTTCTAACTTTAATTTTCTCTCACATGTGACTCATTTGCTGCCACACTGGAGAAACAACAGGAAAAAATGTGGCCGGTGAAGCGCGCCATCGACAGACTCGTACGGTTTGGGTTTACTTCAAACATTATGCAGCAGCGCTTTAAATCTCTGCGGCACGATAAAATATTTGTAACACACTGCAGCTGTTGAAAAGCCAATGACAGCAAAACAATCCACAGAAATGATTATCTCCCTGCTAACTGCAAATAGAGGTGAAGGCACTCAGCCCGAGGGAGAAAACAAGTTTCGAGGAATCAATTTTACAACCCGAGCTCCCGTGTCATCGGTCGCGCCCGCACGTTCTGCATACGCGAGCAGCGAAAATCTAAAGCAACTACAATCGTGTCGCGCTGACAGGGTGAGAGGATGCTGATTGTAGGAGTGTTGGGGCTGAAAAGTGGCTGCTGATGGCGGTAAAATGAAATAAGAGGAACAATTTGCTTCGTTGTGTCTGCTTTTCCCGTGAAAATCACTGAATGGCAAAGAAGCGATTGGCTTTTTATATCCTAAATCAAAATAAATTCATTTTTAAATAAATTTACACATCAGTTTTTTGTTGATGTATTAGACTTAAAAAAACTCTTCATTTCTGATTAATTCTATGCAAGTTTCTTCACAAAAACTCTTCATATTTTTCTCATATATGAAATGTTACAGTGGTGGTTGCTCATAATAAAAGGCCAGAGTTTTAAATGATGCAGTCTGCACATGTGTAGAGCTTTCCTGGGAGCTATTTTCCTATTCTTAGAGGTCGTGGAGAGGCAGCGTTGTCATGTGGCTTATGGTTTGACCCTTCTTGACCACTGGGGCCTTTCTGTGTAGAGTTTGCGTGTTCTTCCTGTTCCTGTGTGGGTTTCCTCTTGCAGACTGAACGCATGCTTCTTAGGACAATTGGCGATTCTAAAATTGACCAAAGTGTGGACGTGAGAGTAAGCAGTTGTCTTTTTGTTAGCCCTGTCTTTGTAAAAAGCTGGCAACCTGTTCAGGAAGCACCCCACCTCATGTGTGACAGTTTTATTTGTGTATATATATTGCGCCAAATCACAAGTAACAGTCACCTTAAGGCAGTTTATATTGTAAGGTAAAGACCCTACAATAATACAGTGGAAACTCCAACAATCATATGACCCCTCCCTATGAGCAAGCGCTTTGACGACAGTGGGAAGGAAAAACTCCCTTTTTTAATATGAAGAAACCTCCAGCAGAACCAGCCCTGGAGAACGGCAGCAGTCCGCCACGAACAGTTGGGGACAATGGGAGGAAGACCTACAGCTGCTGGGTAAATAATTCTGCATTAAAACCTATTTTGAGCCTACAGAGTGGCTGATGCTGCATTTATACTTTGGCTTGGTCTGGCTACATTGCTCTGCAATTTTGCTGCCTAAAGTTGGCAGACGAGTTCCTGTTTTTGAGTTTATCCATCCTTTTTCGGACTGTACTGAATGGATACAATGTGTGGTTACATTTTTAGGAAGGTGCACGTCAGATGAAGTATCAGTTACTTTAAGCCTAAATTTAAAGAAACAAATCCTGTTTGAGGTTTGTGACACCAATGCACTGCATGTCCTCCTTCACTACATCCACAAATCTTCTCTGACTTCCTCTTTTCCTCCTGCCTGGAAGTTTCATCATCAAGGTACGAGTCACAAATTGGATGCACTCACAACCTGCTCCTGAAACACATATACACTTTTCAACATGTATGCAGTCTCCCCCATTTAACAATACATCTATCATATAAACATGTAAGAGTCAGGATAATATTAAAGCTGAAACAGCTGCTTGTTTACTAATAAATGATAAATGCTCCCATGCTGCCTTCCTTCCTACCTCACCCCCAGCTGATTGCTCGCCCTGTTTCTTCCTGTTTAAAGGGAGTTCTTCCTTCACACAGTCGCCAAGTCCTTGCTCACAGGGGATCGTCTCATTGTTTGGGGTTCTTTCTAATATTGAAGGGTTTAAAAAGTATTATAATATAAAGGGCACTGTTGTAGTTATTTGAGACTATATAAATAAAATTGAATTGAACACATTTTAAAGGACTGTAATTCCAGTTAAAGGAGGCGGCGATTAATTGGTCCACCTCCAGTTTACATTGTAACATTTGTATCAAGTTTGAATCTGCAGAGCTAATAGTTAAAAGGTTTAATTGCTGGAATGTTGACTAATTTAAAAATAAATCTATTACTTAAAACATGACAGCGATAAAACCCCAGACTCGTATAAAGAATAACTATGACTGTGGCTGTATTTCCAACACATGTTCTAGACTAAATTTTGTGTGTTAAAAATGTAATCACAATAACTGGCAAACTGTGACTAATTTTAATCGTTGTCCAATCTTATCCATTCACCTGACTATTAAATGGCACATCTTTGTTTTCTATACAGTGAAACAAACTTCGGTTTAGAAAACAGGTGAATTGGTAGGAAAGAAAAACTTGTAAGAAATGAACCCATAAAATTAATTGTTACCTGATTTGATCCGACTCCTCACACGTGCTCTTTAAGCTGATTTTTAACCTCGACTCTTAACTCGGGTTTCCTGATATCAACATGATGGACACTTTAATTCTCACAGAACACGGAGTATTGCTGAAGTCAGCCCGATGTGCACTGCTATGCTTTGTTCTCTTTGCTGAGCTCTTGTATTCTGGGCAATTCATCATTATGACAACTTGACGGCCCTCTGAAGAGCCCGGAAATGTATTTACGCAAAATTACAGAGTGAGCATAAAACGCACGACCTGCGACCGTCTGCAGAGCAGGATTTGAGAACGTGCAGGAGAAGCTTCGATTTGCAAAACTTCATTCATCACTTTTAATATCCCATTCAAATTATGAGATGAGTTGACCCATATCTGGCGTTTAGGAGGAGGCATTATTTCACAGATGCACCCGTAGAACAGTGAGAAGGGTCCGCATGATTCTAGTCACAGTTGGTGACTTACCATGTGCAGCACTAACGTCTGTGATGATGCTGAACCAAAATTATGCATGTAGTTTTCTTAGCTGTCATGGAGAAGGCTTTACCGATGCAAGCTCGGTTACCATTTTCCCATATCAGGTTTTTTCCGTCACAGGAAGACGGTAGAGACACAATTTTTGTGTCTGGTTCTTTACCTTCTGAAAGCTGCACTGAGTTCTGCATATGCCCTTCAACTCTAACCTCACCCTAACCAAATTTGAGGCTTCAAAAGACACATGACACTGAATACAATGAACCACATCCAGTCTTATGCTTGATAACTAGATGCCGCAAACATCTCTGCAATTGAAAAAAGTGCAGTGTGTGATTCGTTGGTCAATATTGCAGGGAAATGTAAAAGCCCTGTAAGGTGACACCTGTGTGTGTGTTGTGATTCAAGTGCCCCGTAGGAAAATGTGTGGTGGTTGTTGCCATTACAGCCTGGTCTAGATGAAGCGCTGACTCACTGCTGTTAATGTGTCGCCCGTAAAGTTTAGATTTGTCATTTCTGTGGGTGGAGATTTCCCACCATGCGACCTTGCAGCTCTGCACAATGAAAGTGATGCATTTCAATTAGCGGCACTGAGATGCCTCTCTGTTTGACTTATAGCTCGCAATTTTAATCTTTGTGAGTGGGAGCTGAGGAGCAAGCAAGCGTCTCCACCGCATGTCAGTGAACTGCCGTGCCGAGCAGCGTGAGATTATGTAAGGTGTAAAATGATCATGATGAGTGGAAACACTAACACACTGTGTCTGCTCCTATAACCCCGCTCTGCAGAGAGGGTCTCTGCAGCTGGATGAGCCCTCCTCCCCTTCTGTGTGCTGAAGTAGAGGAGAGGAGGTGGTGGTGTGGGGCCCACCCATGCAGAGCAACAAGGGCCTGGCTGTTCTCTGCTTTGTTTACTCAGGTCAGATAATACAGACAACTGATATACCTGCTGTCAATTGCTGTCCATTTTCTGCAGGCTGGAGTGGAGCGTGGGCATTGTGGAAGAAAAAGCCCAGCAAGGAAGACGGAGACCAAGAGAAAGGTAGGGTGTGCACTAATGTGTTTCCTGTGTTCTAATTTAAATCAGATCATTCATTATAGCACCTGTGTGGGCTAGCATCAAGTTCAAAGAATGGAAGAGTGGGGTGAGAGGAGCAATGCACTTTTTTAAAAAAAATAGATTTTAGCCACAGACTGTATATAAGATGGATGTAGGTTTCCAGGTCTGAAAAGTAAAGCCAGTGAGGAAGTGCATTCTTTGAAATGGCCAGTAGGAGGCTCCCGTTGCAAAAAGAAGTCCATTTCTTATAGAAATCAGTGAGAAAACTGCCTTTGTTTTATAACTTTATAAACACTTATTAGTGTCAGTAATGTTGATCCACCTATAAATCATGAGCCTAAAAAGCAGCTCATTACAGTATGATGAGGTTTTCCCTACACTGGCTCAGATTAGGCGGGAACACTTGAGCCTTGGGTTTATATCTTTGTTTTGTGTAGCTTAAGTCTCTCATGTGATCAGCAGCTAATGGCTCGTGATGAGCTGATAACAAACATTAGATGTAACCTGAAGACTATACATAAAAGATGGAGATATTTGGCTTTGAACGGAGTGTGCACCCTTCTGATGTCACAGCGGATGTTAGCTTTGTGCGCTACGTCATGTGTACAGCCTATGACACTGTGACCATTTGACAACCTGTAGGATTTGGCACCTTTGAGCTGCCGACACGTGTAAGCCTGTAAAATCTTGCCATTTTTCCCTTCTCCGTATATTCTCCACAAAAGTGGGAATTTTCAGAGGAAATCTTCCAGTACTGCTACTCAAAATGGCACGTTTTGGTGTTTTGTTGTGGTCTGTATCCTTTTACTCTCTACATAGACATTTAGGTGTTGGGCTATCTGTACTAGACTGACTTTCCTGACATCAGAAATTAGTTATAGAAATGTGAAGCTAGAAGTAAGAATCCAAAGTGACTACATTTCATGCTCTGAGGGGCATAAATGTACAGGTGTATTTCACAGAATCTGTCCTAACTTTCCTTCTTACAAAGGAAATATAAAGAAAGTTTTACTTTTGAGAAAAGGGCTGAAACATTGCCAAAAACATTAAAAAAACATCCCAAATTGTCTTCTCTGAAGACATTTTCTGAGATAGCAGATCATAAAGGAAGGATCATGGAGTTACAAAAACCATTATGACTCATAGTCTAGGATTATAATGATCTTCAGAGTTGCTGGAATAAATGTTCATTTTCAAATGCAAAATAACACCGATCTTTATTTTTTTAAAATATATATTTATTAACCCTCAGAGTGCGTCACACCCCAGAGAGGGTTTGAAAATCGTCTTTTCACCAGTGGAAAACAAACCCCTGCTGGAGCGCTGTCGTAATGATGCAACAAAGACTGTTGATGAAAATCTCGATAGCATCACTGCTGCTGTTTGCGCTTGGTGGGTCATTGCAGGCACACGACTGACGTCTTTCACTTCTGGTCTGCACGATGTTTGTTTTTCAGATTACATGCAGCAGTGCCGCATGTCGTAAATGCAAAAATAAAAGCTAGTGATTTTAGAAGCGACTGAATCATAGGAAGTACTTAGTTTTTCACACATTGCTTCTCATTTGGGCTTCATTTTTCTTAATTGGTGTGATATGTCATGCGTTGTTGTATTTAACTAATTTTAAGACCTGCAAAGGACAATTTTAATGTTTTTGTTTTTTTTTTTAATGTCCTGATATGCCCATTTAGGCTTCTCTTTCAGAGAACAGAAGTTATAGTCATAACACATTGTTCCCTTTCAGTCTGGTCATTCTGTACAGCTCCTGCAGTAATGGACATTTACACGCTCCCCATAGAGCAGCCAGGCAGCGTGGCAGACCCAGGAGAAAGGATCAAATTAACCACTGAAGGAGCCGTCGTGTCCAGCAGACTGAACCAAACAAAAGCATGCAGTGATCACCAACATGCATCATGAATATCCCTCACAGGAACCCCTTTATAAGGGGTCCATGAGATTACCATTCCCCTCGAGGAATATGCTCTGAAACCCTGAAGCAAATAAAAACTGTTGGTGCTCTATGCTAACTGGTGACCTGCAGCAATGATTCTTCTCGCCACTCACAGAAAGAGGGCACAAGCGTGCCACCGAGGTGAGCAGGCAGTCAGCTAATTTGTAGCACTGTAGGTGAGGCACCGTTAACCTCCCATGTGTCTGTGGAGAAAGACATCGCCTGCCTGACCTGGTTTATGTGACCTGCAGACTGATGATTTGCAATAGTTTGAATGTAGATATTTTGTATTGATTTGCACAAGGAAATATGTACAGTCACACAGCTTGTTGGAAGCACTGTTATTGGAGCAGAACAATGACAAATGGCATGAACGTCTCAGTTTGTCGTCAGAGCCTTTAATGCACCCAGACTAAACAGTTGCAATGAAAGAGCATTTGTGTATGCAGGGGGCTTGTGCTTGGGAAATTGTGTGGGAAAGTGCAGAAACTGCTGAACAAAACTTAGGTGGACTAAGGCTTCTTCTTTCTAGGCATCTGGTGTCTGTGAAGGCCTGTAGCTGGACTCTGGTCCTGGTCAGCTAGTGTAGAACTTGACTTGGAGGCTTTCCTCTCAATGACTGGAGCACACACCGCCAGAGATGGCACTGCTAGGTCCAGTTGGCTGCCTGGGGGAACCAACCAGTGACTAATTCTCTGCCAGGCACGTCATCTGGTACATCTGCAGCCCAGTGACCGAGCTCATTGCATCTGCAGTTATCTGCCTGAGCCCTTTATCTCCAGCTAAGTTGCTGAAAATATGCGGTGCTTGTTGGAAGGGCTGAGTGGCCATCTACTCCATGGTTGTGGAATGGCTCCACAGGCGGTGGGTTGTCTAAGCCAGCCTCCTCTGTACTGTCTATGTGCTGTACAGTGACATGGATAGACAGTGGTTTTGCTACATGAAGCCGTTAGCTCAAAGACCAAATCGGGGAAGATGGGCAGGTGGTTTTCGACCATTCTTCAACCTTGGTCGAAACTGGGATGCTAAACTTGGAGAGGAGTGTGTAATGCTGTGCAAAAGCCATCTTTGCCAGCATGGGGACATGTCACATGTGCTTTGGGCTTAGTCAGCACTCTCCTAGTGTGGATAATCCCATAGATGTGGCAGCCCTCATGCTGGTCCTTATCATGCAAAGAGAAACTGCACCCCTGAGAGTTGAACACGCAATTTTATCTTCATTTTAGTACTCATTAAAATGCAAAGCAAAATAAACAAATATTGCAATGAAGACAAAATTAGTGCTTTGTCCCCTCTTGGCATTAGCTACCACCACTCAGTGAGTAATGCTAACAGGGCAGTTAAGTTGGCAGATAAAAGAGTCAACTGCCAGCAGCCAGCCTGACTCAGAGGTGAAGAGCGCAAGACCTGAGGGATGACTCAGCATGTCATCACGGATCTTTAGCATGGTCAAGTGGAGATGTGATATCCACTGATTTAATTCATCCATGGCTGGTACACTTCATACATTTGTGTTAATAAAATGTGAAAAACATGTGTCTCATTCTCAGCTAAACTGGAGCTCTGAAGGCAAGATTGGGAGGCGACATCACTAGTTTATTGCTTTGAGTACACAGCCCCTCTGTCGGTAAGTAAATACAGTAAAATGACACATGGGTGAAAAGTAAACACGCAAGCAGCTCAAAAAACAGCTAGTTTATTTTTTTTTCATTTATTCCCCCCCCCACACAAAAGAAGCTTCAAAATGAAAGGCTTTCTCTTTGAAATGCAATCAGAAGAAATAACACCTTCCTCATGTTTTAACACTGATAAATACAGATTATCTACTAATCAAATGTGATCAGAGGAGAGGCTGCAGATAGGTGGAAGGTGGTGTGAAGAGAAGAAAACAAAAACATCATCACCAACGGTTAATACCAACAGAAATCGTTCCATGTGGATAAGATCTAGCTAAAGAAAAGAGCCCTCTCTGTGTTCACATCAGTACAGCAGGTCTGTGGGGGTGGGACCTGCATTAAAGTGCAGACTGGAGTAGGAGAGGGGCAGCTTCAAGACCAAAATGGACACCAGGGCTCGGAGTGTAACCTTCCTTCCCCTGTGTGAACCGTAGCTTATGTTAGCACATTTGCACTGACATTATTCTAGCTCATGGAAGTGGCTCAGTAATTTATGACTAGTGTCGATGCAAATCTTTTCAGCGTTTCTCACTCCAATGCACACTGTGAGCAACACGGTCACTGGAAAGCGTCGGCGTAATTGCTCTCAAACATGAGTTTTTGGCAGTTGGAAAACGGGTCATGCTGTTAGTACGATTGCCATCAAAAGCAACTATTTAGTAGTGAACGGTTTCTTTAAATGAGACAGATGCTCGTGGAGGAACTTCTGTTATTTTTACCGTGTTCAGTGTTGTTGGTACGCGCTTATTTGAAGTATTGACAGGGTGGAGGTAGCCGCTCCCTCCTTTTCCCCGCAGCCTCTACTTTCATACTTTTGCACACAGACCTGCATTGTAAAGTTAATGCATGGCGGGATCACAAATCCACCTCAAAAGATTATCTTCTGGGGTTTTTGTTTTAAATCCATCAATCAAATCAATATCAGTTGGAGTTTCAGATATATTTCTGGGTACGAGGAAGATTGTAAAGGTAATTTGAAATTTTATGTGCCTGGTATAGATCTGCACTGATTATTTTACTAAAACTGGCATACACTGTGCGATTTCTTTCAGTCGCGTTATTCAGCTCGCGCTCAAACTGTGCGACTGAATCGCAGGGGTTAGAAATTCATAGGTCAGGATGCTCTGATGTGACCTTTAGCTTGGTAACATGAAGTGAGGTGTTAATCGCTTCTCAGGTATACTACACAATGCACGACACACGATTAAAGCTAAACTGAGGCCGATCCCCAAGACGGTCGCACGAGTGAAAAATCGCCTCAAAATGGGCCAAAAATCACACTTTTTAATGGCTATTTATTTGCATTTTTAAATTTGTGTTCTTATTTTTTTTTTAATACAAACTAAACCAATTAAAATCAGTTTCTTCACGTCCGCTGATTAATACTCACTCAGTTTGAAAGATGAGGAAGATAAGTGGAAGAGAATGGCTGGATGGAGTTTTTAATCAACACTTTGCGACCCTCCATAAAAAAAGAAAAACCCACATTGATTTCAGTGTGCAATTTTTATGTTTTAAATTAGATTAATTGACACAATATGAACAAAGAGAAATAACAATTTAGAGCTAATTTAAAACCCTCACAAGATAGTACAGACTTAAATTTAATTTTGTGGCAAACTGAACCTAAATTTGGCACATAGTGGTTAGTGTGGGAGTGGTTGTAATGCTCACATGATAGTGTTTCAGAGGTCTAATGAGGACCACGTTGACCATTTCAGGTAACAAATAGTGTGCAGAAGAGGCTGATGGGAATGGCTCAAAATAAGAGACGTTTTGAACTGATTGTGACGCTGTGGGAGAAGTTATTAAGAATACGTCAACTGGGAACTTTGTTTTCTATATCCTATCCAAAATCAAATAAGAAATCAACAACCTCTCACAAAAATGACACCTATAATCAAATCTACAGATCCTGATTGGCCCGTCGATCATATTGCTCACAGTGTGCATGGATGTAACTTATTAAATGCACAAAATAAATGATTCACTTCACGTTTCGCCAGACTGATTATAAGTCTGGGGGACTTCAATAGTCAGATCGATGATTAAAACACGTTCAACGACGACTAAAAAGCAAAAACAAGCGCCAACGCTGGCTGTCTCCTTCAATTGCACATGTGCAGTATTTTAGACAAAGGCATCGGTTTAGGCATTCAAACATCTTGGCACTGAGAAAAATGACCTGTGGAAAAACAAAGCAAACAAAAAAAGGAGAATTTGATAACTATATATAATAATTATTTTGCTTTGAGAGTACATTCGTCATCTTTCCATGAGAGGAATTATGTAACTAATACAGTAGGGTGCTCAGGAGGGTCAGGGAGTGGGAAGAAGCAGCTTTAGAGAAGAAAAGAGACAGTTTGGTAAACTAACGCAAAAACTACCAGAGCGTGGAGGTGGAGGGGACTTGGGCACGAAGGAAGGCAAAGAGTAGTTGGGGGAGTAAAGAAAATGGTTGAGTAACAAAGGCTTCCCTAACACACTGTCACCCTCCTCTCTCCCTCCGTCCTTCCTTTCAGAGTTGACCCACAGTAGTCCGCTAGCAAGCTCTTGGCACTTTTTGGACATGATAAACTTTTAAACAAAATGACTTTGGAGATGGTAGTCGTCATCGCTTTCTCCAGCTTCCTTCACTGTGCAGCACTCTCAGTCCGCAGTGCGCCAATCACACTTTGGATGTTTTCTTCAGGAACCTGAAGAAGACGCAAAGTAGCTGATTAGAACCTTCTGATTGTGTCTTCAGATGTTTTTGATGGCCCCAAAAACATCTGAAAAAGCTGAAACAGTTTCTCTCCAGCTGCTTAGGGCCTATGCTGATGCCATAAACTGTATATAAAAGATGGACATAGTTGCTATGATCAGTGCCTAGTGTCTTCTTAACCCTTTAAGACCTACCATAGAACCAAGTCCGCCAGAGCTTATATTATATTTTTACATGCTGT